TTCATTGCTTATAAGTAACATAATTAAAACTACCATAATTTATTTAATCAATCCAATATTGATGGACCTTTACTTGCTTTAAATTTTTTTTAAATCTTCTGTTACAGACAGTGCTGCAGTGTGAACATGCTTATACATATATATGACTATATATAAATTCCTAGAAGTACAATTTCTGGAATGAAAGATACATAAAATTTTGAAAGATACTGTCTAATTACTCTCCAAAAATATTCTATGAACATACATTATCATTTACAGACAAGTTTTTATTGGGCTCCTATCATGTAGCTGGTAGCATGCTAAAGGTGGACAGCATGTATTTATGTGTTAGAAAAATTACTGAAAATGGAGCTCAAGTCCAAGGTTTCTACACAGTATCAGACATGAAGATATGTTCCTATTAGAAAAACTGATTTCTGCTACAAGTGGAACAGCAAAGCATGACCTACAGTAGGTTTGAAGACAGAATAGAGTACTAAATTCTAGATTAAACTGCAAGTAATTATGATAGCACACTATAAAAATAATTTTTATAATACTTTTTAGTTTTTAATTTAGGAGAGTACCTTACATACATTTTTAGGAATCTTCACAACCATTTTAGAGCGTGGTAAACTGATGATCAGAAAGGTCAGAGTTATCAAAGAAATCAATGAATGGGGCCAGGTGTGGTGGCTCACACCTGTAATGCTAGCACTCTAGGAGGCTGAGGCAGGAGAATTGCTTGAGCTCAGGAGTAGGAGACCAGCCTGAACAAGAGCAAAACCCTATCTCCACTAAAAATAGAAAACATTAGCTGGGCAAGTAAAAATAGAAAAAAAAATTAGCTGAGAGTGGTGGTGCTTGCCTGTGGTCCCAGCTGCCTGGGAGGCTGAGGCAGTAGGATTGCTTGAGGCCAGGAGTTTGAGGTTCCTGTGAGCTAGGCTGACACCATGGCACTCTAGTCCATGCAAGAGACGAGATTCTGTCTCAAAAAAACAAACAAACAGACAAAAAACAAAAAGAAATGAATGAATGGTTAAAAAGTCTACAACCTTTATCAAAATTTTTGAGACAGACACATTCCGACCTTAAATCCACAAGCATTTCCAATTCTGAAAATTTCCACATAATTAAAAATGTGTCGGCCAGGCGCGGTGGCTCACACCTGTAATCCTAGCACTCTGGGAGGCCGAGGCAGGTGGATCGCTCAAGGTCAGGAGTTAGAGACCAGCCTGAGCAAGAGCGAGACCCCGTCTCTACTAAAAAAATAGAAAGAAATTATTTGGACAACTAAAAATCTATTCAGAAAAAATTAGCCGGGCATGGTGGTGCATGTCTGTAGTCCCAGCTACTCAGGAGGCTGAGGCAGTAGGATTGCTCGAGCCCAGGAGTCTGAGGTTTCTGTGAGCTAGGCTGATGCCAGGGCAGTCTACTCCGGCAACAGAGTGAGACTCTGTCTCAATAAAAAAAAAAAAAAAGTGTCAATATTAGTAAATTTCTAATTGGAAAAGGAAAATACAAGTTAGTATAACATAATTTGCAAACTTACAATTATGCGTATTCAAATTTGACATTAAATTATAAAATATTCTTTAGAACTTTATGAAAAAAAATCCAGTACATGTACATTTGCCAAAAAGTACAAATGGTACAAATGTCTATAGACATGACAAGATATAAAATGTGACATAAATCTATCAGAAGCTAGAAAAACTATGTTGATCTTACACTTCCAATTTGCTAAAAGACACAAATATGGGATGAGAACAAACTGAGTTATAGTTGACACAAAAAACTCCAGACCTAAGAAGAATAGGGTTTCTAGAAAGTATGGGAACTGGAAAAGAGTAGGCCATTAGATGGGAGTGGCTACAACATGAGGTAGAAGAATGCTTTCACAAGTGTGTCGTACTCTGGAATGGAAAACATAAGAGCACGGGATATTTGGAACTACAAACAGCTAAGTAATTGATACTAATAAATCTAGTATTATCTGGTAGGGTCCCAGGTACCATGTAGCAGTTTGAGAGATTCCAGTGTTTAATAAAATCAAAAATAGACTATGGAGAGAGCAAGGAAGGGCCTCGGGGTAGATGGACTAAGTATGTTACACCAAAACAAGTTCCAGTTATCCTGATGGGTACAAAATTCAGGGAGTGGGTCTCTGAGACAAAATTACACTCTAACTATAAAAAATGAGGCTTTAGGTCATGGTAGGACAAGACGCTAACTTCCAGAGTGTTAGACAAAGCCCTTTATTTTTTTTTAATTTTTAATTTTTTTCAGAGACAGGGTGTCATTATGTTGCCCAGGCTGGTCTTGAACTCCTGGGCTCAAGCAATCCTCCCACCTCAGCCTCCTGAGGTCCTGGGATTACAGGCACACACCACAGTACCCGGCTTGGTCTACAACTCTTCAGGTTCTTCCTTGTACATTTGAGATTTATTTTAGAGGTTAAGACGATGGTGAGAGTGCAAGCTGGAGTTAATTGGCCAGAACTATGCGGAGAAAATAGTTATAGAAGCTGGGGAATGCCAAAAACCAAACTATAATAAGCATTTGTCTAAATAGAATTGAATGTTAGAAATGAATATTTTAATATGTAAACATTATATTGCTATTAGAAGTGATCCTATCACACTCCTGCACATCTTATACCACCCTCCCTAACCTGTAATAGTTATGGATTCCCTGGATTTCCATGAAAACATTGAGAAAACAGGGACTGGTCTAGCTTGCAGATACTTAGTATGTGCTGTTAGTTTCACATTACATACCAGTATCACAGAAGTGGCTATGTGAGGTATTGAGTTGAGATCAAAGAGAGAAAACCTTGAAAACTTTATATAGCTTAAGCCCATCTCTACATTGCCACACCTTTCATAATTTCTTCTCAGAAAAACATTACCCTCCCACACACAACCACTGAAAAAATTCCTCTCTCATAATCTGAAGCATTATTGGAAGAGATGGGAAAAATAGGTCTATAAATGCAATATCTATCTTTAGAGGTCCCATCCTGAGCTGATCTTCTTGTGGGCTCTTGGCACCTTGTATCACTCACTATGTACTCACTGGCACTAGAAAAGTCCCTAGATAGACTGAGCTAGGCATCTCTAAGAGCTTACCACCAAACAAAATGAGTATATCCACAAATTTCCTCCCCTAACCCAGCTTATAAATCACATATAAATCATTAGTAACTCGGCCCTAACTCACTTTATCACAATTACAAAAGAAGGTAGCGAGAAAGGCCTTAACTAGAGGAACAAAAACAAAGGCAAGCCAGGCCAAGTTGGGCTGACTGCAGACATCTGTTCCTTAGGCTTGGGTGCACCGTACAATTCACCACAACGCCTTTTCCCAGACTCCTCTTTAATTTCCTCCCCCAAATCCAACAGGTCAAATTAGTTCACAGTGCTTCAAAGTAAACAATCATCAACAGAAAAACATGCAATATGTCCTACAATGTTCGAGTCCTTAAAAAAAATGACAAGAAAAAATGTAGAAATACCAGAGCATTTAAAAGAAGTCTATATTCTACAAACATACTAATGAATGACATAAATGAGGTAATATGACATAAAACAAAATGAGCAAAATATATTTAAGACTATTCTCTTCAATGTACAGAATTCTAGTACTTTCTGGACTACCTAGCTATATTTAAAAAATATTAAATTATCCGTTCTGTTCATACAAAATGAGGTCAACGTGTGCCTTGTTGTCTCTCACGGAAACTAAAAGATCCACATGAATCTCTTTTTTTCTATACTATGACCTTGCCTGCTCCCTATTCTTCACTAATATCTTCTTCTTTCTCTTAACCATTCTCCTCTTCATTTTGCCTGACCTTGCACCCAAGCATGGCAGACAGAGAATCCTACAGGTCCAAGATTCCATAGTGGCTGTTTGCTAGGGGGAGGAGGCCACAGTAACTGCCACAATGGAGTCTCTAATGTGAGGAAAGAGAAAAGTAGTATGAATGCCTCTCACATATGAAAGAGAAGGATGGCAGGGTGTCTGCATGGCCCAAGGAGCCAGAGGGAGTAAATTATGGGCAAAAGAACTGCAACCAGAGGCTGAAAAAGTTTACACTCCGCTGTGTCTTCTACCTCTCTGGTGTTTGCTTCTAATAGGTAGAGTCCATTTTTTGAATATGACGGCACTGAAAAGACCCCTGCTCTGGAAGTTGACAGGAAGTAACATCCACAAATGTAAGGAAGCATGATCAAGGCTTGTCCCAGAAACAACGCCTAGAATCAAGGGGGAAAGGGAGAGCAGAAGATGCAAGTTCAACCTGGCCCAGCTCAGCCCACTCCAGGAAGGTAGGATTCAAGAACCTAAAGAGAAGAGCCTTGGACCACATCATTTTCTACAACGTGCACTCAACGAACTTTACCCTACTCTTCAACCAAGTTACAAAAAGAGCTCTTTACTCCCTTCCTTTGGTCCCTAAAAGCTGCAGTAAGTTCACGGATCAGACCCAATGAAATGGTTTCAGAACAACAGTTGCTGTTCAACCTACTTGTCCCTCTCCTTCCTACCCAAGAGTATCAATTAACCATACATATAATATCTAATTATAAATGTATCATGTTACACATTATAATAGGAAACATAATATGCTAAATATACATAACTATTAGTTACTTATATGAACAAACATCTATGAGGAACATCGAGATGACCTCCCCAACGCAAGAGCCTAGGGCAGCGGGGACTATCATGTCTGTCTTTCACCTTCCCAGAGCTCAGCCAGTAAGGTGCTGTTGCAGCTCTCCTACCACTCCCTCCACCCACTGCCCTCTTCTGATTGGGAAACTGACCTCCACACTGGCTACCTCATACCTTTAAACTGCCTGCTTTGTGACATCATTCTCCCACCAAACCTACTAGCATCTGGTGGAATCTTGGGGTTTCCATGGAGTTGTCTGTAAATAAATTTGGATCATCGCAACTGACCAGTGACCAGTGACCAGTAACCAGTGACCAGTGACCTTTCTACTGGCCACATGCGCTCTTCAGCCACTCCTCAGAAATCCTCTAATACTGTCTCCTCATCCCTTCTATCCTCCATTGACATTTCCTCTTCTCTGACCATGTCAGGTAAGGAAAGAAACTTTTTAAAGTTTTTCATTTCTTCCCCCCTAAATTCAGTAGTAGAGTCAAAACAGCTTGGAATAACGCGGGAAAGTATTGAACTAGACATCTGCAGACCTAATTTCAGATTTGGCTTTGACGTTTACTAGCTGTGTGACTTTGGATAAATCATTTACTCTCTCGCAAAATCTGTTTCCTCATCTGTTATATCAGGGTAATAATAGATTGGTTGTTCCCTCTGGCCCCCTTCTACTATTGAGTCTTAAAGGGCTTGCTTACAGAAAATGAAATCACAGACATTTGAGAATTATTTGCTTCATCAGAAACAGGGAAAAAAATCTCGGTGGTATAGAAAACTAGCAATATATAGCGAGATGTTTTATCTGTAATAGTCTCCTGTCACTAATATTGCAACCTCAGTACTTTAAATTTAGTGCTGCTCAGAAAGTAATATTTACAAGTTTGGTATTTTCTATCTAAACTAGGTGAAAGGAGAAAATAGGGAAAGAATGGAGGGTATTGGGCTGTAAGGAGGCTGATATTCTAGGGAAGGAACTGTTTTCATTAAGCTCAGGCCAACAGGAACTGACATGGGGAGAAAATATAAAAATGATGGAGGAGAAAATGTAAGAATGAAAGCTATGGAGAGCATGGAGGAGTTCTCAAGAGGTGTTTGGGATGAAATGTGTAAGACAATCAAAGAATTTAAAGTAAAGCAGAAAGAGCATAGAGTGAAATCTACTCAGAGCAGGGCAAAATGAAGTTGGTTTTAGCAAATGCTTAGATTAATGGACTAGGAAGGAAACTAAGGCTAGAATAGAATGTCGCTAGAAAAAACAGCTTACCAGAAAAGTCACATTCCGTTTTTTGGTTTTTTCTATTGCCTCTTTGAACACAGATGACACTTGACACTTTTGAATATAAACATCTCAAAAATATGTTTTGTATCTGCGATCCTCAACCCCTGGGCAGCGGATCACGGTACCGGTCCTCTCAGGGACCGGCCACAGAGGTCCGCTCCCAACGACACGCTCCCCCACCATCGCCCCCAAAACACCCCGCCCCGGGGAAAAATGGTCTTTCGTGAAAGGTAGGAAGCCAGGGTCGCACAGCAGGAGGTGAGCGGGGTGGGGGGAGAGCGACTGAGCTTCATCTGTATTCACAGCAGCTCCCTCCCCGTCGCTGGCATCATCCCTGAGCTCCGCCCCCTCCTTCCAGGGAAAAACTGTCTTGCACAGTGAAAGCGGTCCCTGGTGCCAAAAAGGCTGGAGACCGCTGTTTCTTGCTTCCTGTAAATAAGAAACTAATAAAGGGGTTACCTAGGGAACCAGAAGAAACAGTCTTTCATTCTGATTTTATTTATTTATTTATTCGTTCATTCATTCATTCATTCATTTATTTTTGATACACTGTCTCGCTCTGTTGCCCGGCTAGAGTGAGTGCCCTGACGTCAGCCTAGCTCACAGCAACCTCAAACTCTTGGGCTCAAGCGATCCTCCTGCCTCAGCCTCCCCAGTAGCTGGGACTACAGGAATGTGGTCTAATTTTTCTATTTTTGGTAGAGTCGGGGGGGGGGGGTCTTCCTCTTGCCCAGGCTGGTCTTGAACTCCTGACCTCCAGCGATCCTCCCGCCTCCGCCTCCCAGAGTGCTAGGATTACAGGCATGAGCAGCTGTGACCCACCTCATTCTGATTTTAAACTATATGGATGTTTGTCCTGTTAAAAACGAAATTAAGTTTTTTAAAAAATGAAGTATCTTGCCTTACATCTGAACCACAGGGTCCTTTATGATAAGTAAGTTTCAAGTAAAGGTTTCTTTTCACCTTCATTTTTTCATCCTAAAACAGAATATGTACTGATTAACAGTCATTAACTGTTCTTCAGCCTAAGAATAAAAACAAAAAGCCCTACACCTCTAATTCCACATTCATCTAAAACAATTTTCTAGAGTCTTTTGGGTTTTCCTACATTAAAATTTTTTCTAAATTAGATTCTAGCAGTGATGGTTTTCTTACACTTTGAGAATGACATTTTCCCAGATATCAAAGATGATTGTAATCTAGGGTTTGAGATTAAATGAAAAAACCTTCAAGATACTTTTTAAGTGTTCTTTTCTAATTGTTATGTGGCTATATTAATTTAAATATATTTTTCTACCAGGATTACTGTCATTTGCTGGATAATATTCAGAGAAATATGATGACCACACTAATGAAACTTCTTTACACTTACAGTTTTACTCACTGCCTACAACCTTAATTTTCTTTTTTGAATTTTTTTGGGTATATTGTTATTTTTGCTTTTGTACTGTTTGTATTGAAATATTTGTGTATATATATTATGCCTATATATTGCATTACTTCATTTTGCTGCTTGTAACAATATTTTTACCAATGTAGTTTCTCTGTCTGTATGTACTGGTTAGAAATTCATTAAAAATTACCCTATATTGTGGGCTGGGTTTTTTTTGGTAAATAGTATTCATTCATGAAAATAGAGTAGATAATACTCACTTTCATAATACCATGTATGATAACAGGACTTCATTTATTAGTAAGGGTACTATGCCTTGATGATCGCTACATATCCCAATTTTCAATTCTTTTTAGTTCTGTAATGTTATGCATTTTTCATGATTTTTTTCTGTCCTTCCAGAACTTACTATATTTCTCTCCATATAAATATTATGCAACATATCACTTTTATTCATGTATAAATTATGACTGTTATTATGATTATAACAACTTTATAGGTGAGAAGGCTGAAGCTCAGAAAGTTTAAGTAACATTTTTCTTTCCAAAAGCATGTCTTGA